GATGTACATGATAAAGAGCTTAGAAGAAGGGGATAGGATAATTGTAAAGGGTTGCTCAGTGAAATGCTTTGGAGTAACCATACAGTATGAAAAATATCAGGAATGAAAGAATAGAATATTGAAAAGTGTTACTTGGGGTAGAGTCCTTTAAAAAATATAAGGTAGGAATTTATTTTAAAATTATGTCTAGTTGTTAGACGCTTTCCAACAAATGAAGTTTATATTATATTATTTTATGTTAGCCAAAGTTCCTAAACCTTCACTCATTCCTTCTAGCACTTCTCTTTGGTACTATTCATTCAACATGTAACAAATAATTATTGAGTATCTGCTGAGTGCCAGGGGCCATTCCTGGCTTTGAGTAAACAAGATAAGCAAAGTCCTTAGCCCCTTGTGGACTAGATTCTAAGGAAAAAGAGAAAAACAAACAAAACAAAACAAGATGTAACCCTAGTAAACAAACAAATAAAATTGTGATAAATGTTATGAATTAAATATATAAGGTTCTGAAATAGGGAATAATAGGAGGATGCCCACTTCTCATAGGATTGTCACAGAATGTTTTTATCTGAGAAGATAATATTTACAATTAAGACCTAAAGGATGGGAAGCTAGCCATGCAAAGTATAGGAAGGAGAGTGTTCTAGGCAGAGGGAAGAGCTTACACAAGGATCTGAGGTGTGAAATAACTTGTTTTAGTTGAGTTGGGTTCAAGGGACTGAATGAAATCCAGTGTGGCAGGAGTATAGTGAACAAAGTTGAGTAGCACAAGATGTGTTTGATTCTGTAGTCAAGGGCCATATTTTGCTGGGTTTTTGTACCTCATAGTAAGGACTGAGCACCTTGGACAGCCATTATGGGATTTTAAAGCTAAAGAGAAACATGATCATATTTACCTTTTGACAAATATAAATATATCTTGTAACAGCTAGGGTTAAGGCAGAGACCAATAGGAAGCTATTTCTGTTTGGAAGGGATGATTATAGCTTACACTAGAGAAGTAAAATGAAAACAGAGAGAAGTGAACAGATTTGAAATAGATTCAGGAGGTAGAATTGCCAAGATTTGCTGATGACTTAGATAAAGTGTTTCAGAAAAAGGATAAAGTAGAGATGAAATCCTAAATTTTTATGGTTTGAATAAGATAATGGTACATTTTACAAGATGAAGATGGCAGTTGGAGGATGTGAGAAGCCCGGATCTCTTTGTTATCTCTTCTCTACACTAGATTTATACGTGGCTTATTTACATAGGGCTTACTTTAAAAATAATTCAGTCGGTAGGCTCCTTTCTTTTCATGTTCCAGGTTATTTATACTCATCTGAAAATATGTTTCCCTGACCTGAAACAGTACTTCAGCTATGGTTCAGAAATGAAAATGGTAAGATTGCCATTTCCCTCATTCTAGATGGAATGCTTATACAGCATAAAGTCATCACACAATAGACTTTTAATTTACCCTTAACTAAAATATTTTTTATCATTCATGTTTTTAAATCATATTATTGTAGTGATTAAATTCATTTTGCCCAACTGTAATATTTATTCCTATTAATATTCATCTATTCAATTTGATCCATTGCTCCAGTCTATTGAATATCTTTTAAATTTGTCCAGAATTAACTGATTTTGTTATTTACCACCCCCTTTGAAAATTTGATAAGCATTTTCTTTATATGTTTATTCACATCATTCATATAACTATTGATCAGCACAGGGCTAAGAACATGTCCACATATCATGACATTAGAGATCTCCCTTCAGGTTGGCATCATTTTATTAATCCTTACTGTTTTCCATGTGATAACTCAACATTTTTGATCTCCACCTAATCATACTGTCTTTCAATAAGTATTGAAAGTGTTTATCAAACATGTTGCTGAAATGCAGGTTTATCATATCAAGGATATTGGAACCTGAATTAATTCTGATCCTGTTAAAAATAAAATTATATCTGATGTAATTTGTTTATTTTCAATATATATTGCTCCTTGGTGATTATTTCTTTTCTAAATGCTACCAAAAATCCTTTAAATGTTTTCCTAAATTATTGAAGACCAGTGTTAAATTTAAGGCACTTTAGTTAATAGAATTTCCTTTCTGTTATTGAAAACAAGATATTAGATTTTCTCCAGTGTTGTCATAACTTGTTTTCTCTGTCATTTTGAAGATCAATCAATAAATGGGCACATCCTTTCTTTTTTTTCTTACAGTACATAAAACAAACATCCCATTTTCTTTATGATGGCAGCTTGTATAATCCTCAGTTCATTTAGGGCTTTAGAAACTCTGATCATTTTTTTATAGATTTGTTTCACTATCACATGTGCACCATTTGTCATGGTTCTTCTTTTATAAAAGCCAAGGAAGGGAAAGTTATTTTAAATGATGACAAACAATGATATGTGGATAGTATATAAAAAAGGCTAAGTGGGCAAACTAAAGAAAATATATTTCTAAAAGGAACTAGCTAGCTATTGATTTGACTTGTAGGCTTTTAAATTTCATGATTCTGAAAATTAACTTTATTTGTGATAGAGTCTGGATACTCAGATTTGACAGATAGATATATACCTTTAAAAAATTTTCCTTATTCTTTCGGGGGTGTAAAGAAATAAGTACTAGTGGAAACAGAATTGTTGAACATATCCTTTCATCCCACTTTCATTATTTTCTCATGAGGAGAATATAAGTGTAAGATCTAGAGCACAGAAAGGGTCCATTTCTATGATTGAAGTAGAATTTGAGGTGATTTTTTTAACATATGATGAATTGCATTGTCAGGAGGGAAAGACAGAGAGTAGTTACCAAAATAGAGCAAAATTCATAGAGTAAGAAGATATAAAAATGATATGGCCTGAAGAAGATTGATGGACAAATCTGAGGTTGAAAAAGCATTTAGAACTGATTGTTACAGATTTGATTGCAAAACAGTGGTCTACATTTTTTGTCATATTTTAATAGTAAGATTTGAGCCCAAATGAAAATAGAAACAGCATTATTTAAAATAGTCATGTTTTGATAGTGTATTATTATATTTATTCTTGACAACCTTAAAAAATTTTTCTAAATATAGAGAGAATAGGTTAACTCAAAAGTAGCTATTTATTTGTCTTTCTAGCAAAAAGTAATATTTTTTTTCATGTAAAGACTGAAAATAGTGTTGTGTAAGAGTTATAGTAAAGGATTTTTTAGAGAGGAATAAAAAGATTCATTCCAGGATGAGATAATACCTAGTACCTATCATGAGCATTAAAAAAATTCTTGCACAATGAGTCACTGCATAGAGACTATGTTTTCAAAAAATCAGTTAAAGGACATTACATATAAAATTTAAAAGATAAAAATAAGCTCAAGGATATTTAATTAAATATATCTGTGTTATATGGTGTAGGAATTTGGGCATAAAATTGTAAGTACAGGAGACTAGGACACATATCCAAGTGTTTCTTCTAAATTGTAGAGTAAAGGAGGTTTGGATAAGTGGACAGTCAAGGCAGGGGAAATATGAAAAAAATTATCTGTTTAAAAATTCTATCAGCTATCACGTTAGAGAATTTTTGTGACTTTTTCTCCCCTTGGATGAAGGTAATGCTATTCACTACAACTAGAAATAAGTATTAATAGGTTTAGAGGAAAGATATGACTTCAAATCTCTTGAGTATGTTGTGTCTGTGAGATTTTCCAGGGCGAAAGAACACAGCTCATGGTGGTTATGAGTATTACATAAATTAATATCTATAAAGAGCTTAAAATAATGGCAAATGGTAAGCACTGTACAAGTATTCCATAAACAAATATACAGAACCAAGCACCTCAGAAAAGAGATCTATCTGAGAGTATATATTTGTGAATCTTCAGAATTTAGACCAGTGGTTCTCATCGAAGAAAGCATAATATCCTGGGAAAGTTTTTCCAAATACAAACATATGTCCCTTCCCAAGATTCTGATTTTTTTATTTCCTATAGCAGACTGTTAGTTGCCTACAAATATCTGTTCTTCTCTTCTTTCTTGGTAACAGACCCACCATTTTACTCCAGGAAGTAAAGTACCTAGCTAAAAGCCTTCATTTCTTACCCTCTCCTTTTTAGCTGTGGGAGGTCAGTGAGTTATGAACAGAAATTATTGGAAGGGCCTCTGGGAAAGTTCCTTAAGACACATGGCCTGTGCCCTTTTGTCATTTTATCCTTTCCTCCATCTTGCTGACTGAAATATAGACATGGTGTTTGATGCTCTAGTAGCTATCTTGACTCATGAGTAAATCTTGAGGCTGGAAGCCATATAGATGATGCAGTAAGATAGAGATGATACATTTTGAAAGAGCCTGGATTCTTTATTGACCTGGTTCCTCTGTATCAATCCTGAATGGTCTGTGAAGAGAAAGAGAGATAACACAGTATCAATTATTAAAACATCCCCAACCAGTTTACAGACATTGTATAGTTTACATCTGACAGTGCCTCTGCTTTACACAAAGCTTCTTATCAATATTCTACTTATTATCCCTTCCACACATATCTGATCCATTTGTACTTTTAAGGCCTGTGATATTTCTGCCCCCATTTATTTCTACCTATTTTACTATCCTTTAGTATTCTGTAAAATAATTTTGTCCCTCCTTTCTTACTCTGAATCTTCCATCAGGCTTCCTGGGCAACATTATCTTGCTTCTCTTTGTTTATTCCTTATTTCTCCTCCCCTCTGATTCCTTTTGTCATGGCACCCTCCTGAAAGGTCCCCCTTCCCCTCAATTTCCCTTAGAACATTGTCCAAAGTATATCATTAACTCTTAATAGAAAGATAATTTATCAGAATCATACATAATGGAACTCTTTTCATCTTTTCTTAACTCTGCCTACCTCACAGGATTTTGCTGTTGTTTTTTAAATAAAAGTCAATTATGATAATGTGTTATAATACATGTGAGGGTTCTTTGAGAACTCTAAAACATATATGAGATATTATCATTTTTGTCATTGCTTTTATTTTGTTTCCACAGAGTATACATTCTCCTGTTGATTTAAAATATTCTAGTGAACAGAGAAAACATGTTTCTTCTATTTTATATGAATTAAAAACAGGAAAACCAAGACATCTCATTCAAAAAGGTTAGTTATATGAATTTAAAATTATATTTAATGAACATATTTTGATGAAGAATAATTAAATTTGTTAGACGTTGGGCATGTTAATTTTGAACTATAAATACGACTCCATGAAATACATGTTGAGACTTCTAGATAAAATATTCATATCTCTTTCAATAGTTTATAAATATATATATGCAGAAAGTTGTTTCATGGATATGAAAGACCTGATTTTGAGTAGAAGTTAAGAATTAGGAGAAATAAGTATTAGCAAGAACCATACTGAATTGATAGTTTTGTTACCATATGGCTGTGCCAGTATGTTACCTCCTTCAGGAAATCTGTCAAGTATCAGATTAATTAATATAAATTATTTCAGTTAAAATGATATTAAATGTTATTCAGGCTTTGAAGATAATTATTTTTTGTACACAAAAATACATTTTATTGTTAATAAAATTTTGGTCATCATATGTGTACCTGTTTTTATTTTGTTTTTGCAGAATTTCTTCTGATAAAATCTGTTATGATCAGATGACATTCTTTTCTTTACCTCTGTCTTTCACAGAAGAATCATAAAAAGAGTTATGTAAAATAATTTGAAGTTCTTAAAATTTTATCAAGGTTTCTCTTAAACCTTTTAAACATTATTTTGATAAGAACACTTAGGATGAGGCCTATGCTCTTAACAGATTTTTAAGTGCACAATACAGTATTGTTAGCTATAAGCACAGTGTTGTACAGCAGATCTCTAGGACTTTTCCATCTTGTAAAACTGGAATTTTATAATCTTTAAACAGCAATTTCCCATTTTCCCCTCCCTCCATCCTTTTAATTCTGAAATATTTTATTTTTTTTCCTTTTTAAAAATTCATGGTAGTGTCTTTATCCTTATTGATTTTTTGTTTTTTTTCTTCTGTGTATGTGAACTGGTCAAACTCTACCAGATCCTCATTTGTCAGGCTTTGTTATTTCCTCACTTCTTTATGAGATTCATGTACTTTATATATTTCCTAAAGCTCTGCATCTTTTATTTAAAAGTAATTTTATTTTAATCCAGTTATTGAACTCCTAGGTTTATAAACCAAAATGAAATGAAGGAAAAATAATAGTCCCATGTTCCATACCTCCCCACTCACTCTTCTTGCTACCCCAAGAAAATAATCATTTAATAATGATTAATGACTATTCTGTTATTTACTTTTATATTTCCAAGTAATATGCTTATTCTGCTAAAAATTTCTTTTTCAATTTTAGATATTATATACAATTTCTACTGTGAAAGATAGAGGTTTAATTATCTTATAAATCCTCCCTAATACACACTTTTAACATGTCCCCTCCTCTTTTCTCCCAATAGAATTATATTATCACTATTTCGGGGTTAATTAATTTTTATTATTTTTATTATTAAGGCTAAGTACTACTCACAGCTGAATCACACAATATATTAGGCTCTGTTTGCTTTCTTATACTATTTTTTTTAAACTTGTTTGGAAACCTCATAAGAGTCAAACCTCCACTTATCACCAAGCACACCCACATATATCTATTTTCAAGATACTTCTGCTTGAGCCCTCAATTTGCTGATCAGGACTGCTTGCTTTCTAAACTTGTTCTTAACTGCTGTCATCTTGGTACATCACTTCAATTGTGATTCCGAGAATTCATTTGTTTCTATGCTGTGTTGTGACCCTTGTTTCCAGGATTCTATATCTTGTTCTTTCTTGGTTTATTTTCTTAAGTTAATGCAGTGCTTTCTTCTATTAGTTTACTGAGAAATTATATATAGGAGGTAAATTTTTTAAAACCTTAAAAATCTAAACATGTCTTTATGCTACATTTATGTTTGATTGATGATTTAACTGTGTAGAACCTTCAGAATTTTCTCAGAATTATTTTATTGTCTTCTAGCTTCCAGTGTTTCCTTTGAGAAGTCCATTGCCATTCAGTTCTCAGTCTGATGTGTGTGAACTTCTGTTCATTGTTTTTCTCTTCTGACTAGAAACTTTCAGCATTTTATCTTTGTACTAGGTGTTCTGCAATTTCACAGTGATTTGGCTCAGATATTTTTTTGTTTGCTTGTGTAGATTTTCTTTCAATTCAATTTATTGTGGCTTTTTAATCTGAAATTTTATATCCCTCATTTATGTATGTTTCTCTTTTATTATTTTGACGGTAAATATATGTAACACAGAACATACCATTTTAACCATCTTAACTGTACATTAAGCATATTTATATTCTTGTGTAACCTTCATGACCATCCATTTGCAGAACCTTTTCATATGCTTCAACTGAAACACTATACCCATTAAACAATGACTCCCAATTCTCCCCTCCTCCCAGCTCTTGGAAATCACCATTCTACTTTCTGTTTCTAGAATTCCTGTGGGTATGATTACTATGGGTATCTCATAAAAGCAGAATTATACAGTATTTGTCCTTTTGTGACTGGATTATTTTAGTTAGCATAAGGTCGTAAAAGTTCATCCATGTTGTAACATCTAAGAATTTTTTCTTTTTAAGGTTGAATAATATTCCATTATAAGTACCACATTTTTATCCATTCATTTGTCAATTGACACTTGGGTTGCTTCTACATTTCAGCTATTGTGAATAATGCTGCTATGACATGGGTGTACAGATATCTCTTTGAGACCCTACTTTCAGTTGTTTTGTGTGTATACCCAGAGGTGGAACTTCTGGATCATATGATAATTTTATTTTACTTTTTTGAGGAACTACCATACTTTTTTCCACAGTGGCTATAACATTCTACATTCTCAATAATAGTGCACAAGAATTCGAATTTCTCCACAAACTGACCAACACTGGTTATTTTGTGCTGTTGTTGTCGTTCTGTTATTATTGTTGTAGTAGTGGTAGCCATCCTAGTGGCTATGAGGTCATATTTCATGGTGGTTTTGATTTGCCTTTCCATAATCATTAGTGATGTTGAGCATCTTTTTCTCTTTTTTAACATCTTTAATACAGTATAATTGTTTTACAATTGTGTGTTAGTTTCTGCTTTATAACAAAGTGAATCAGCTATACATATACATATATCCCCATATATCCCCCCTCTTGCATCTCTGTCTCACCCTCCCTATCCCACCCCTCTAGGGTGACACAAAGCACTGAGCTGATCTCCCTGTGCTATTCGGCTACTTCCCACTAGCTATCTATTTTACATTTGGTAGTGTATATATGTCCATGCCACTCTCTCACTTTGTCCCAACTTAATCTTCCCCCTCCCCGTGTCCTCAAGTCCATTCTCTAGTAGGTCTGCCTCTTTATTCCTGTCTTGCCCTTAGGTTCTTCAAGACCAATTTTTTTTTTTTTTTTTAGATTCCATATATATGTGTTAGCATACGGTATTTGTTTTTCTCTTTCTGACTTACTTCACTCTGTATGACAGAATCTAGGTCCATCCACCTCACTACAAATCACTCTATTTTGTTTCTTTTTATGGCTGAGTAATATTCCATTGTATATATGTGCCACATCTTTATCCATTCATCTGTCAGTGGATACTTAGGTTGCTTCCATGTCCTAGCTATTGTAAATAGAGCTTCAGTGAACATTGTGGTACATGACTCTCTTTGAATTATGGTTTTCTCAGGGTATATGCCCACTAGTGGGATTGCTGGGTCATATGGTAGTTATAATTTTAGTTTTCTAAGGAAGCTTGATACTGTTCTCCATAATGGCTGTATCAATTTACATTCCCACCAACAGTACAAAAGGGTTCCCTTTTCTCCACAGCCTCTCCAGCATTTATGGTTTGTGGATTTTTTGATGATGGACATTCTGACTGGTGTGAGGTGATACCTCACTGTAGTTTTGATTTGCATTTCTTTAATGATTAGTGATGTTGAGCATCCTTTCATGTGTTTGTTGGCAATTGGTATATCTTCTTTACAGAATGTCTCTTTAGGTCTTCTGCCCATTTTTGAATTGGGTTGTTTGTTTTTTTGATATTCACCTGCATGAGCTGCTTGTATATTTTGGAGAAAAAACCTTGTCAGTTGCTTCATTTGCAAACATTTTCTCACATTCTGAGGGTTGTCTTTTCATCTTGCTTATAGTTTCCTTTGCTGTGCAAAAGCTTTTAGGTTTCACTAGGTCCCATTTGTTCATTTTTGTTTTTTATTTCCCTTTCCCTAGGAGGTGGGTCAAAAAGGACCTTGCTGTGATTTATGTCATAGAGTGTTCTGCCTGTGTTTCCTCTAAGAGTCTTATACTGTCTGGCCATACATTTAGGTCTTTAATCCATTTTAGTTTATTTTTGTGTATGGTGTTAGGGAATGTTCTAATTTCATTCTTCTACATGCAGCTGTCCAGTTTTCCCAGCACAACTTATTGAAGAGGCTGTCTTTTCTCCATTGTATATTCTTGCCTCTTTATCAAAGATAAGGTGCCCATATGTGCTTGGGTTTATCTATCAGCTTTCTATCCTGTTCCATTGATCTATATTTCTGTTTTTGTGCCAGTACCATACTGTCTTGATTACTGTAGTTTTGTAGTATAGTCTGAAGTCTGGGAGCCTGATTCCTCCATCACTGTTTTTCTCTCTCAAGATTGCTTTGGCTATTCTGGGTCTTTTGTGTTTCCATACAGATTGTGAAATTTTTTGTTCTAGTTCTGTAAAAAATGCCATTGTTAGTTTGATAGGGATTACATTGAATCTGTAGATTGCTTGGGTAGTATCATCATTTTCACAATGTTGATTCTTCCAATCCAAGAACATGGTATGTCTCTCCATCTGTTTGTATCATCTTTAACTTTTTCCACATTGTCTTATAGTTTTCTGCATACAGGTCTTGTGTCTCCTTAGGTAGGTTTATTCCTAGGGATTTTATTCTTTTTGTTGCAATGGAAAATGGGAGTGTTTCCTTAATTTCTCTTTCAGATTTTTCATCATTAGTTCATAGGAATGACAGAAATTTCTGTGCATAAATTTTGTATCCTGCTACTTTACCAAATTCATTGATTAGCTCTATTAGTTTTCTGGTGGC